GAACCAACTGAGAAGCCAAAGGCCTCAAATTAAGAAGCTTTCTCCACATCCAAGACCCAAGAGTGCTTTTTCCTTTGATGCTCCAAAACGATCCTTTTCTAATAAGGTATTTCCAAACCCAATGAACCCACAGAGAAGTGCTATTAGACAGAAATCGCCATATAAGTTTCAAACAAGAAACATTATTTGCTTCCAATAAATTTTTCAGACCCAACCCTCCCTCATCCTTCGGCATACAAACATCCTTCCATGCAATTTTTGCTTTGCTAGTTGAAAGAGTAGGTCCAGACCACAAAAAAGCAGAGCAAATACTGTTGATCTTCTGAATACAGTTACTCGGGAGCCTATAGGCGGACATCTAGAAATTAACCAAACTGTAGAGAACTGAACCAACAAGCTGCAAACGACCTGCAAAGGAAAGATGCCTCGCAGTCCAGGTAGTAACTCTAGCTATGATCCTGGATATAAGAGGAGTATAATCGTTCACATTCATCCTTTTGGTAAGAAGAGGAAGACCGAGATACCTGACAGGAAGAGTACCAGCTTCAAAAGGAAATTCATTCAAAATAGAGATGCTATCCTCAGCTTTAACACCAGCTAAATATAAGGTGGATTTCTCTAGACTTATATTCAGACCAGACATAGCAGCAAACTCCTTGAAAACAGATAAAATCCCTTCAATAGAGCTTTTTTCCCATCAGAAAAAACTAACACATCATCAGCAAAACATATATGAGTCAAGCATAAACCACTGCAGTAAGGATGATAACAATACTTCCATCTTTCACAGACCTATCCAACAGTTTCGAAAGCACTTGCATACATATCACAAATAAATAGGGAGACAAAGCACATCCTTGGCGAAGTCCCCTTTTGCTATTAAAATATCCAGAAAGTTCACCATTTATTTGGATAGAAAAAGAAGCAAGCTCAATGCATTTCTTAATCCATAAGATGAATTTCGCAGGCAGATTCAGGGCTTCAAGGACCTTCAACAGAAATGACCACTGAACAGAATCAAAGACCTTTGATATGTCAATTTTCACAGCACAACGCTCCGACACATTATCCTTATGATAACTCTTCACAATCTCAGAAGCTAAAAGGACATTCTCCATTAAGAGTCTATCTTTCACAAAGGCCGACTGGTTTAAAGAGATGAAGAGAGGAAGTATTTTTTTTTTCATTATGCTGGCCAATATTTTCTAAATCGCCTTGTAGATCACATTGCAACACGAGATAGGCCGATAATCTTTCATAGTACAAGCATCATTCTTCTTCGGAATAAGTGCCAAAATAGTAGAATTGATTCCCTTAGGGAGAAAACCTTTGTCAAAGAAACTCTGAACCGCAGTAACAAAATCATGTCCAGTGATATGCCAAGAGGCTTTGAAGAATTCAGAGGTGTAGCCATCAGGGCCAGGAGACTTATCCTTAGCCATGGAGAACAAAACCTTTCTAATTTCCTCAGCAGAGACATTCCCAAACAGCATACTACCATCCTCAACAGAACATTCATAATTAAGAAGCGATTTCAGATCAGCAACATTCACCTCAATGTAGTCCGCAGGAACATGGTTCAGAAAATTATAGAAATGATTAACCGCTTCCTGCTTGATATCTTCTTGAGTATCAGCAACTGAGCCATCAGCTCTCTTAATTTCCCTAATAGCATTGCGAATTTCTCTAACCTTAGCTGCTTTATGAAAACTCTTATTATTTCTATCCCCAACCTCAAGCCAGTGAATCTTTGCACGTTGACTAATAACCTTCTCTTCCAAGTCTGAGAGAAAAGACCATCTTGCATACGCTACAGATTCAGCTTCCATGTTAATCTGATTCGGATCACTAAGATTCACACCCTGGGCTTCGCAAAGGTTATGATAAGCTTCTTTTGTTTTTTGAAAGATATCTCCCACCTTATCTTTACTCAGCCTCTTTAACATGGGTTTAAGAGCTTTCAATTTCTTCGACAATCTAAAAAGCGCAGAAGTAGAGTTAAAAAGAGGCTCAGTATCATTCCAAAACCCCTCCACAACGCGAAGAAACTCAGGCATTTCAGTAACCGCATTCACAAATTTGAAGGGCTTGCGGGGCTTCATATTCTCAGTCTTAATCACAATTCTGCATCGCTGATGATCAGAGCATCCACTAGCTTCAAAGACACAATAGGATTGGGAATGAACTCTCACCCAAGCTTCATTTATTAAAGTTCTGTCCAATTTCTTACAAATGACCCCATTATCCCTCTTATTGCACCAAGTAAACCGAGGCCCCTGATAAGTCATGTCCAGCAAACAACAGTAGTCAACCATATTCTGAAAATCTTTCATGCCCGAATAAGCATGAAAATCCAACACCGAATGCTCATTATCATTAAGAATCTCATTGAAATCACCTTGAATACACCATGGAGCTTTACTTATAATGGGAGAATCATGATGAGCTTTAAGGTCCCTCCAAAGCTCCTTCCTTTCCTCCACAAGATTCAGACCATAGACAAAAGAACAAAAAACCTCCTCAACCATACCAGCCATGAGAATAGAACAAGTAATCAGTTGCTCAATCTGAAAACAAGGAGTAACTCTCACCTCTGAATTCCAAAGAACCCACATTCTCCCCAATCTATTATGAACATAGTTTGTAATATAATTCCAGCCAGGAAACACCTTATCAATGATTACCTTAGCTTTACCTTCCTTAACACGCGTCTCGAATAAACAACCAAATTGAAAACCACTTCTCCGAACCCTCCTTGACCACCATATGCTTAGTAGATTTGTTAAAGCCTCTTATGTTCCAGAAAAAACTCGACATATTAGCGACGGGTTTTCGTCTTTCTCAGATAACTAGGGCCATCACCCTGAGCTTTCTAACCTCCTCCTTTATTACTGAGATACCTGTGATTCATTTTTGAATCTCGAGGCAGAATTTGTCGAGGAACAAAAATATCTTCCTTGACTGTTTCTTCTTCCTCCTCTGTTTGTTCAAGCAGATCATTTTCAGTTTCCACAGGGTCTCCTTCTTCTTCCGTGGCTAGGACGGAGAATCTCGACAGTGTGAGAATAGGCGCCTGATCTTCCTGCCTTTTGTTCGATGATCTACTCGCTTTCCCTGGGGATTTCCATACTTCCTCATTCACTTTCATCTTCTCATTAGGTGTAACCATTTCTGGAGAAACACTTCGGTTACCCCCAGCATTTGACACCATATCCGTAGGACTAACATTATCCTTAACGTCATCATTCTTAACCTCCGATGTATCATTTTTAGCCTTTTGTGTTTCAGTGATCCCTGCATCTTCTTGGTTTCCCGTCTGATCTTCCTTTATGTTTGAACATGACTTTACCGAGTGACCCCATTTATCACATTTGGAACATTTAGTTGGAAGCCACGGATAGATGTACTCCAACAAAACCTCTTCTCCATGTATAGTAAAGTTCATCTTCTTAGGTAGATCTTTTGTCAAGTCCACATTCACAAATATTTTTGCTACTTCCAGGTCCAGACATTGAGCAGTGTGTGGGTGAAGCCTTACTAGAACTCCAGTCGGGCTTGTCACAAAGCTCAGACTTTGCCAAGAGAACATACTCAGAGGCACATTCTTAATGTGAACCCACATCGGAATGGACTGACTTGGTGGCTTATCCTTCTCAGTCACAGGTGACCACTTTGTCATGACAACGGGAACTCCTGCGATATTCTACATACCCCTTCGTAAAACTCTGTTCTTATCCGCTTGGTTTAGAATTCTAAACTTCATCATAGTTGAGTTCACCTCAAACACTTCAACCTTCTGTGATCTGTCGTTCAAAGTCCATATCTTGTTCACTATTGAATGAACTTTAGCTATATGTGGTGTCTCATCAAGAAATTTTCCAATAAGAAAATCATCCCATAGTGGCTTCACATCCTTCACTATCTCCTCTAGAACCAGAACAGATCCTATACCATCCTTCATTGTAACTTCCACCTCATATTTTTTAAGAACCTTCTGATCCTGAGCAACCTTAGCCCAAGTGTTCTTTGAACCAACCAAACTTGCGTTTCCAACCTTATCAGATCCCAGAGCAGTACCAAGAGAGGTGCCCCCTACCATATCAGAACCCAGAACTGCCTTTCCAACCTTATCAGAACCCATCCCAGTATCTCCAACCTTATCGGAACCCAGATCCATATTTCCAACCTTGTTGGAAGTCAGATCCGTAGTAGCAACCCTTTCCAAATTCAAAGCAACTCCTTCAACTAGGCCTGGGCAATCGGGTACCCAATCGGGTATCGGTTCTACCCAATCGGTAATCGGGTAAATCGGTATTAGACATATATATACCATTCGGTATTTTACAATAAATTCGGGTCGGTTCGGTTTGTAATTGGCCGGGTTCGGGTCGGTTCTCTACTCTAATTCAAAATCCGAATTGTACCGAAATTTTTTCGGGTTAAGAATGGTTCGGTTAATTTATGTAACCAGAGTATTCAATTACCCTATTTAAATCCGATTTAACCGATTCAATTTATAAATAACCGACAAAATAAATAAAGTAACGATTCATAATCAAAACAAGAACTTAATAAGCATAACTTTAACCAAAAACCATAAGTTTGACATAGTTTACCAACTCATGAAAACATGACAAAAGATTGATCAAGTAGCCGATGAAAAACTGGGAACAATGAAGAAGCATTTATGATGAAAAAAAAACATTGCTACTCCATGTCCCTGTAAACACATAACAAGATGAATCATTTAGCAAACTGAGCAAACTAAACACAAAGAGAGTGATAAACTTATTCACATAAAGACATGAAGTTTCAATTTACCTTTACTAATTGCCGCATAACATGACTTAGAAAAACATCACACAAGAAGACCAATACAAAGATACCTTCAGAACATCAAACAACAAAAACTAGTATTACAGTATTACCATTGTAACAAATAAAAAATCAGAGTATATCAAATCAGTGGAGATTAATTACCTTTTCTCGTATGAGAATAGCTAAGCCTCAGGACCATTGTCATCTCCAATACCAAACTCTGCAAAACAATTTTAAAACTGAGTTAGAAACAGAATCATAAACAAAATATTATGAGTTATGAATATCATAAATATGTTAAATATTACCTTTCTCAAGCTGGTCAAACATTTCAAACTCTGAGAGCAGTTGAGCACTTGTGATCAATGTCGGGTCAGTCCCATTCTTCATATCTTGCCTCATCCATTGCTCAGTACACATGAGGACTTCAATCATGTAATGAGTCAGGCAGGACCTATTAGGATCTAAAATCCGACCACTGGTGCTAAAAGCACTCTCGGATGCAACAGATGAAACTTGCATAGCAAGTACAGCTTTAGCCATCTCAGCCAAGATAGGATACTTTACAGAATTCACCCTCCACCAAGACAACACATCAAATTCTGCACCCCTCATAAGCTGTGGGTTCTCAACAGGATCTGTGAGATAAACTTCTAACTCACGCCTTGCTACTTCATCTGCATTGTCAGCAACCATCTCCTTATAAGCCAGATCCATTCTCTAATAACCCAAATCATCAACCAAATCCATCTTCTCAAGAATCTCAGATGATTGATGTTGGTTAGCCCGTGGAGTATGAGAAGATGCACCATTTGTCTGGCCGTAAAGAGCAGCATACTCGATATACATTGACTCGAGGACATAGAAAACTGAATCAGACATAGCCTTGGAGTCAACAGAATCTTCACCATACAGCTTATCAAAACACATCTTAGCAAACTTCATCTTCTTTGTTGGATCAAACACAGTTGCAATGATCAGCATCTTGTTGATATTCTTCATTCCATCCCAATACTTAAGAAATTTCTTCAACATTTCATCAGCTCTGTTCTTCAGTTCGTCGTCTCTGCTATTACTCAGAAATGAGAGGTTCCTCTCGATTGTAACAATCTCACCATAACACTTATGCGCATTCAAGCTGGTGGAAGCAGAAACAACCAAAGTGGAGTTGTAGAAAATCAGCAGAAACTTCACCAACCTGTGACAGAAACAATAGAGTGTATGTAAATATGTTAACGTCAATATAAATATTATTTTGTGCAAGTATAAACAGGTCAATAGGTTACCTTTCAATGGCATGCCAATCAGTTGATTCAGGAGGTCCAACACGTCTGTTCCCATTATCCAATTCTTGGAAGTAGTCATGGTACAACCTATCTTCTAGTAGCATCTTGTCAAAAGCAACTCTGTACTTCAGGGCATTGGTCAACATTGTGTATGTTGAATTCCATCTGGTTTTCACATCCAATGTGAGACTTCCTCTTTTCAGCTTCCCTGAATCAACCCTCAGCTCAAATGACCTCTGCCTAACATGAGATGACCTAACATAGGATACACCATTGCGTATAGCCTCCACATTTTTTGATACCTCATTCAACCCATCCCTCACAATCAAATTGATGATGTGAGCACTGCATCTGACATGCATGTAGTCTCAATCTAACACAAATGCTTCATTGATGACCAAGCCAAAATCTCTTTGAAACTTCTTCAGAGCCAAAGTGTTGGCTGTTGCATTGTCCACAGTGACACAAAAAACCTTCTTAATCTCCCACTCAGCCAGACATTCGAGTAGAGTACTAGCAATTGTTGATGCTTTGTGATCTGAGACATACTTAAAGCCGATGATCAGTTTCTTGAGCATCCAAAATGCATCGATGAAGTGAGCTGTGATCACCATGTAGCTTGCACCTGTTTTATAAAAAATAAATAGCAAATAATAATCAGATATGCTACTACACTAACATAATTAAATCATATTAAATGAGAAAGAAATAAAAACAAACCTGTATTTGGAGCAACCCATATATCTGTAGTTAGAGACACCCTTTGCTTGTTTGAGTTAATCCAGCTCTTCAACAAAGCCTTCTTCTTCACATACATTTGCACAATGTCTCTGCTTGCTGATCTCCTTGAATGAGGCCGGTAGTGGTTGACTCGAGAAGAGAAGTGTCTCCAGGCAACACTTTCCACAAAAGACAGTGGCAACTCGCCTAGCACCAACATCTCATTTGTTGCCTCTCTGAACATAGGCTCACTTATCTTTGCAGCTTGCATTGTTCCATTTCCTTTGATCACTTGCTGAGACTTGTTTTCCTTATAAGCATGGTATTCTTTGCATGCTTCCAAATGCTTGGTCAAATTAGAAGTCCCTGACTTAGACTTGCAGCCGTATGACTTCTTGCAGTAGTGCCAAAAACACTTGTTTCTGTCTTCTTTAGTCCTGGTGAAGTGATCCCACACATGAGATCTTGGAAGGATGACTTGTTTCCATTAGTTGTACTTGATTCTGGGGAATCTTTTCTTTTTCCTGATTCAGGAGTTGGAACAACTTCTGTACTTTCACCAGCTTCTTGTCCATTGTCATTGGCATTCTCTTCAGCAAGATTCATCACTTCTTCAACGTCGTCTTCATCTGGAAAGCATGAGGAACCCATCTGAACACACACATACAATATTTGATCAGTAACTAAGAATCAAATCAAGCTAAGAGAAGAACAAAAAACCATCAAAGACTAAGAATCAAACTACTATTTGGACACTATCCATAATCGAATTACAGAAAGTATAAGAGATTATAATACGAACCTGTGATTGAATTGCAGACTGCAGAGATTAGAGAAAGAGGAGACGATGGAGAATACGAATTGAGAAGTTTGGAACTTTGGATATGGTTCTTTCCATGGGGAAAGAGGGGTTTATATAGAACTTCCATGGAGAAATACGAATCGAAAAGCAAGTGGTATTCAATTGCAGTAGACAAAGCATGCACGGAGTGAAGGAGACGAAGAGATTAGCAACAATTGCCGTCGACGGTTCTGTCTTGGGAACAAGCTAAAGTTTTGGTGTCTCGACTCGCTCAACCACTAACCCTAAAGGGTAAAGGGCCTAACGGAGGCCCATAGTAACTTACACTAAAACCCGATCCGAACCGAGGTCCATAGTAACTTGGATTCGAGGACCAGTCGGTGATTTCAGCATAACCCAATCCGAACCGGTACTTGCTTAACCGGGTGCCAACCGGAGCGGTTCTTCGGTATAGTTAATTTCTGCCCAGGCCTACCTTCAACCTTATTCGCAGCCATATCAGAATCTCCAATCAAATCAGAACCCAAAATAGAACTGTCAACCAAATCGGAATCCAGACCAGACCCTCCAACGTTATCGGAAATCAGATTTGAATCAACCTTAGCATAAACCAAAACCTTACCTTCGCCTTGAGAAAAACCCAAACCTTTGTCTCCCCCATGATCGGAACTCAGTGCCCCCGCCGTAGACGTACCCCCACTCATCAGAGAGGAAGGTGACTCCGACGGAAACTCCTTAACAGCCGTGATCGGAATCGAGAAAAGAACAAAATCGCAGTCGCCTTTTTTTCGCCTTCAAAACGATGCGTTTTTTGCTCTTAAGAATTTTAAATTTTATCAATTAATATATGAATTTATTTCACATTTTGACCAAAAAAATAAAGAGTAAAATTATTATTATTTGACTCATTCAAACAAAATAATATACTTTAAATGAATTTATTTTTTATATTTTATAAATATAAAAGATCAACATATATTTGGTTTATAAGATTATGTTAAAGAACATGAAGTCCAACTAACAAATCAAAACTCAAATCCAAATATCTAGTATGTATATTTGTTACTTTATAAAAATTTCTCAAATTACATATATTGACCTCCATTTTCTCATTCAAATAAAATTTTATTTTGATATATGAATACACTATTCATAATCTCTAAAAAAATAGTTCCAACAGTTGTCTTCTTCAAGATCGATGTCGACGAATTGCAATAGGTTGCTAAAGAGTTTAAAATCGAGGCAATGCCCACTTTTGTCTTCATGAAAGAAGGCGAGATCGTCGACAGTGTTGTCGGCGCAGCTAGGGATGAAATCCATCAGACATTGGTGAAGCACGGTGGTGTTGCTTCTGCTTGAAGAGTTTCAAACTTTATAATCTTTTCAAAGTTTCCATCTCTATGCCCTTTGGTGTTATGTAATAAAAGTGATGAATTTGGTATTTATAAACTTAATCTTGTTTTACAAACATGGATTGTTAACTTCACAACAGCATGAGTAATTGTGTAATAACACAAGATTGAGTTTTTTTTTTGTTTCTTTAAGTGTACTGATATCTTTATGTTGAGTTAAAGATCGATTCTTTACTTGTTTGTCTTGTATTGTTTGCGTTTCACTCTCCTCTCTGGTTTGTTCACTCATGTGTTTTGTGTTTAATAAAGAACAGTAAAGACACACCAGATTTGTCCAGTTCACGTGTCTCAAAGTGAGATCATTACGTCTGGCCGAGGTGTTCCTCGGAAATCCACTAGAAAGCTTGGTTACACTTAACCCTTAGAGACAAAACAAAACCATAGACTCACGGCTGCTCTCTTCGGTTCTCTTATTCTCTCTTACCCTAATGTCCCAGTTGGTGTCAGCTTTATATCACTGCACTGGCGGTGCAACACTCCTCTCTCTCCTCTGTTTTCTTTGCTTTTTCGTACAGAGGAAGGAGACAAAATGCCAATTCATACAGGCTAATTAATTACTCCTTTAGCATTCTAATCCTAAGACCGCACTTGAGCTTCTCGTGCTTGTTTCTTCTTAACGGTCAACTGATACCTTCTTCAGTTCTTGACACTTAGGCAATAACCAACACTTTATAACAAAGTGACGAATTTGGTATTTAAAAACTTTCTGATCTATTATTTTGAAAGTTTTCATCTTTTATGTTCTTTGTTGTTAGTATGTAATAAAGTGGTGCAGTTTGCAAATTTGGTATTTATAAACTTATATTGTTATGATCACAAACAGGGATTGATAATTCAAACAATAGCATGAGTAATGCTTTTGTGTAATGCACACACATATTGAGTTTTTAATTCTAGTGTACTGATCTCTTTACAACAGAGACTTTGGAGACATCTCCACCAAGTTCTTCAAAGAGTACTAACAAGTTCCCTCTTGGCTTCAACCACGAACGCGGAACATGGTACCTATAAAATTTAACAAAAAGATTTGTTTTTAACAAGAGAAAGGTTATGGTGGATTAGGAGTTTATGAAGGAAGATAAAGGTTCAGTTGGTTAAAAACAAAGCATTTGAAAAGAAAAGAAAAAAAAGCATTTGTTATTTACCATCTTTGTGTGGGTTCGCCACAACCAGATTGGCATTTGGCTTCTCTGTATGTGCCTGCGTAGTTACAACTCCCGCAGTTTCCTTTGGCGAAAGCCATCCAGTATCTCCCTAAGCTTTCTCCATTTATCCAAGCTTGTCCTTTCCCCATACTCCTCAGGTCCAAAGCCAGCGGCTCATTTCCTCTAGGAGCGTCAAAGAAGGCCTGTAAAATGTGATAGCAAAGACATAGTAAGTCTAGTTGGAACAACTTTGTCTACTACTCCCTCTATCTCAAAATAAATGACTCTTAGAGAATTGTTTTTGTTTCAAATTAGAAGACCTTTTCAAATTTAATAAAATTTATTAATTTTATATGCTATATTGACTTTTTGCATTCTCTAATTTATTTTTCTATTAGTTGAAATATTGTTAGATGTACAGTTAATATTTTTTTTATTTAAAAATATTAAACCAATTATTTCTAGTAGGACTTGGTTAGAGAGGGCAGGGATTATAAACAGGTTGTTCTTTAATTGTTAGATGTTTTCTTTGTTTATCATTGGGAAATAAAAATAGAAATCAGTTTGATTCAGGATGAGTTAGGAGCAAAGCTTGGACAAGTCAGATTTGCTTATTTAATTTACCTTGTACCAGGTCAAAGGCTGTTTGTTTTGCTTTGCTAATGAGCCTTTCATCCAATCCACAGAGGAAGCTTCCGTAGGAGAGATCAAGTTCATTGCTTCACCTCGCAGACCAACCTGTTTAAATACGGTTTGGGGAAATGTTGTTTAGTTTCAGAGGTTAAAGAGGATAGAGTCAAGGAGAGCTTCTTCTTCTCTTATACATCTCTCACCTGATATGTCCATTTCTGTCGACTCAAGTCTTTGTTACCCCCGTCAAGGCCGTGCAGCGCGACAGACCCGACAATCCCCGTGGCCCACGTCTCAAAATGTGCTCCAACATTCTTCAAAAGAAGACAAGAGTAGAAACATATATATATATATTTTAATCAGCCTGTCTGCAACAAGACAGCAAAAGTGATGTACTTTCATGCTATAAACTGACCGGCAAACCAACTGCTACGCTTAGTAGAGCGATTCTGTTAGCTCCACCTCGTAGATTGACCGGTGCACTAAAGGAAAACTTTTTGTTTTCT